AGGCAGAGGTTGCAGTGAGCCAAGATTGTACTATTGCAGTCCAGCCTAGGCAACAGACAGAGACCCTGTCTAAAAAAAAAAGGATTATGTGCATAAAATATCACTATAGCTCTCCATTAACAAAAGATTTACAACTGATTTTGACAAAAGAGAATATTGATTTGAACCTCAATAAGTAAAATGTTATACTCCCCTCAAAACAATTTTTTTATTCTCATTGGTAGATCTGAATTACCAAATATTGTATGCAATTGCTATTATGGCTATAATTTTGTGGGAAAATTATCTCATTGCTATATAAAAACCTACATAATATCCTCAGTTTTGCCTCGGTCTGCAAATCCTAAAATGTTTGCTATCTGGCCCTTTGCAAAAACTTTTGTTGACCTGTGAACCAGAGTCTGCGATACATCCATCATAATGTTTTCAACCCCCTGCATGATAGTTCCAAAATCCATGTCATAGCTGAGTCTGGTTTTGTTGATTGATTTGTCTCTTGATAGTGTGTTATTTTTTGTTTCATTATGTGTCTAATAATTTTTTATTGAAAGCTAAAGCTTTATTGTGAAGGCTAGTGGAGAGAGGTAAACACTATGTCCAGAAGTGGAGATGCCTTTTCTTTAGGAAGGAGCATTGAGACAACTGTGTCAGGTTTTGTTGTTAGTATGGCTACTCTCAAAAAGCACATAGTTCAAATTTTTCTAGTATTATCTCTTGCTTAGAGTGGTGGCTGGTTTGTTGGAGAGTTTTTCTCAGTAGCTGTTCAAATTGCAGCTATCGGTCTTCTCTTTGTGCCTATGCCTAAGAGAGGATGTCTCTCTGTGCTTTTACCCTCACTCTTCCAGCAGTAGACTGCTGTTACTTGTTACTGGACACTTGCTATTGTGGTAGTGAGGGGCTTTCTTTATTGTTCTGGCTCAGCCTCACTCTTAGGCAGGTGCTATGTTCCTGGCTCTTAGTCATGGGGCCTTCTAAGTGACCTTGTCCCTCTTCCAGAATAGATAATCTTTTTTTTTCTTTTTTTTTTTTCTTTTTCTTTTTTTTTTTTTATTGCATTTTAGGTTTTGGGGTACATGTGATGAACATGCAAGATTGTTGCATAGGTACACACATGGCAGTGTGCTTTGCTGCCTTCCGTCCCCTCACCTGTATCTGTCATTTCTCCCCATGCTATCTCTTCCCACCTCCCCACCCCCCGCCCCTCCCCCATTTCCCCCCAACAGACCCCAGTGTGTAGTGCTCCCCTCCCTGTGTCCATGTGTTCTCATTGTTCAACACCCGCCTATGAGCGAGAATATACGGTGTTTGATTTTCTGCTCTTGTGTCAGTTTGCTGAGAATGATGGTTTCCAGGTTCATCCATGTCCCTATAAAGGACGTGAACTCATCGTTTTTGATGGCTGCATAATATTCCATGGTGTATATGTACCACATTTTCCCTATCCAGTCTATCATCGTTGGGCATTTGGGTTGGTTCCAGGTCTTTGCTATTGTAAACAGTGCTGCAATGAACATTCGTGTGCACGTGTCCTTGTAGTAGAATGATTTATAATCCTTTGGATATATACCCAGTAATGGGATTGCTGGGTCAAATGGGATTTCTATTTTTAGGTCCTTGAGGAATCGCCACACTGTCTTCCACAATGGTTGAATTAATTTACATTCCCACCAACAGTGTAAAAGTGTTCCTATTTCTCCACATCCTCTCCAGCATCTGTTGTTTCCCGATTTTTTAATGATCGCCACAGAATAGATAATCTTTAAAGATTTGGAGCAGGACAGTTTCCTGCTCCTCCCCCAGAAATAGAGGGTATTTTATGTTATCTTCACCCAGGATAATAGGCTTTTACCTGTGCCCTGGAAGTGACATTTTTATGCTCCCTTTCCACCCCTGGTGGTATAGGGCTGGTGTATTTTGTGTGTGTGTGTGTGTGTGTGTGTGTGTGTGTGTGTGAGAGAGAGAGAGAGAGATAGTGATAGTGGTGGTGGTGTCGGGGTTGCTGGGAAACAGAGTAGAGGATCCAGGCCAGACTTCATGCCTTTCCCACAATGGCTTTTGCTCACCTCCCCAAAGACTGCACGGTGAGCAAGGCTTTCTTTGGTCTCTTGCCCTTCCTCTAATCTTTCTCTTCAAGACCTGATGGAAGTTTGTGGAGAACGGCCTGTGAGTAGATGCAAATTTGCTTTGTGTTTGAAGCTCCCAGAAATTCTGAAGTATTACTCTAGGCCACACTGCCTTTCACAGTTCATTAAAAGATAACAGGCTGACACAATAGATGTTACTGTGGAAATGAAAAATATAAGGACTGTGGAGAGAACTGGTTACTTATTACTGAATTGAAAATTTTAAAGAAGGCAAATGGCAATCTTGAGTTTTAGTTTCTTAGATTGAAAGCTTCTATGATTTCCTGAAATAATTTCATATTCCTTGTCACTGTAGGATTGATGTAGTTGAAAATAAAATGTAGTATCTCATCTTTTGGGTTGCTTAATTTCAACATAAATGGAATTAACAGCTTCATTATAGTTCTTTTTTTTTTTTTTTTTTTGAGACGGAGTTTCGCTCTTGTTACCCAGGCTGGAGTGCAATGGCGCGACCTCGGCTCACCGCAACCTCCGCCTCCTGGGTTCAAGCAATTCTCCTGCCTCAGCCTCCTGAGTAGCTGGGATTACAGGCATGTGCCACCATGCCCAGCTAATTTTTTGTATTTTTAGTAGAGACGGGGTTTCACCATGTTGACCAGGATGGTCTCGATCTCTCGACCTCGTGATCCACCCGCCTCGGCCTCCCAAAGTGCTGGGATTACAGGCCTGAGCCACCGCACCCGGCCTTCATTATAATTCTTACATATACGTCACGGCATTGATTGGGAAAGAATGAGACCGTGAAAATTTAAATGAGGCACATTTGGATAGATTTAGGACACCTGACCCCCAGCCACATTGAACCTCCCTTGCTAACAGAAGCAGTGCCTCCTCTGATTTGACAAGGGTGGTCCTCTCTACTTCAGAGCTACTGTATTGATTTCAACTGAGATAAGGGCATGCCCGTTCTATACCTACTTCTAGTAGGTCTAGAAGTCTACTGCCTCTAGACCTGTACCACTCCAACAAATATTCACTGCCTCTAGACCTAATAAGTACAGTCAGATCCTAGCATGCTCTAGAAGGACAGATACAAAGTATAACCCAGTGGGAGACTTTCATGGGAAAGAACCTGGGAGATATGTATAGGATTGGATTCCTCAGACTCTTTTTTTTTTTTTCTTTCTTTTTTCTTTTTCTTTGGATTCCTCAGACTCTTGATTAGAGAGGATTGGGTTCAAATTTAGCAGGAGTACATTTGCCAGAAATTCTGAATTCAGTTTCCTGGTGTCTGTCTGTAGATACCAAACAGGCAGGTGAAAGTGACTCTACATCAGGCTTTTCCAACCTGTAGCCTGTGGGCCACATGCAGCCCAGGATGGCTTTGAATGTGGCTCAGCAAAAATTCATAAACTTTCTTAAAGCATTACAAAATTTTTTTTTTTTTTTTTTTTTTTTTTTTTTTTTTTTTAAAGCTCATCAGCTATCATAAGTGTTAACGTGTTTTGTGTGTGGCCCAAGACAATTCTTCTTCCAGTGTGGTCCAGGGAAGCCAAAAGATTGGACACCCCTGCTTTACATGTTTTTTTTTTTTAATTTTTATTTTTGGGACAGAGTCCTGCTCTGTAACCAAGGCTGCAGTGCAATGGTGTGATCACGGCTCACTGCAGACTGGAACCCCTGGGCTTAAGGGGTCCTCCTACCTCAGCCTCCCGAGTAGCTAGGACTACAGACACAGGCACCAGGTCAACTGATCTTTTTATTTTTTGTAGGGACAGGGTTTCTCCATGTTGCCCAGGCTGGACATGAACTCATGACTCATGAGCTCAAGCAATTCTCCCTCCTTGGCCTCTCAAAGTGCTGGGATTACAGGTGTGAGCCACAGCACCTGGTTGCTACTTGGTTGTTTTAAACCTGAACTCAGTGGTGGCCCACACTTGGCTACCAAGTGTGGTATGTCAGAACTTCCTTGTTCAATGGAGAGAGAGAGAGAGAGGGAGAGGAGAATATTGGGATGGATTCATGATGTATGACCTGCTTGGCCACTCCTCTGATCTCCAAAAGGGCCTTAGAAAATGCCCCCTTCACCAAGATTTAGAACAATAAATTGGTGAGGAGAGCACTGGCATCCTTGCAAAACACTGTCATGGTTGTGCATTTACAGCCAGGAAAAAGTGGAACATACAGCAATTCAACAGCTGTGATTGTGGTTTTCCCTCCAACTTCAACAAAGATGAAGCCAGGGGAGGCAGGGGCTTGGTAGTAGCTCTTGGGCAGCAGACAAAAGGATGAGCTACCAGAATAGACACAATAGACATCAGGGACACATAGCTAATAAGAGTGGATTGACCTGCGGTTGTCTGGTGGTGGCCATTTAAAAGATGTCCCTGCGACTGAAACAGAAGAGCAGCCCACACCTCTGTCTAGCCTGCTTAGAGCCTTCCTACCCTGGAAAGTCCTCCTACCCCAGTATCTAGGTCTGGTAAATGAAGCCCTGATTTGAGGATGCGTTGTGGAGAATGAGGGCCCCTCGATGAATTCCCACAAAGCCCACCCCGACCAGCTCCAGGCCAGGTACCAAGCGTGGAAGGCCCGCTTCCTAAGTGCCGACCCTAAAGCGAGAGGTCTCCATCAAGGGCAGTTTCCTCAAAAGCACCCTAAGCCCTTGGTCCTAGGCAGGGTTTTGGCTGGACAAAGCCTGGAATAAGGATGTGAATGAAACTGCGAGGGCGACATTTCCCATTCAGACAAAGAATCTGGCAGGGCCAGGGTCGGCGGCCACGTGGGCTCCGGCGTTTCCGCCCCTCCGAAGCCCCGGCCCCGCCCCCTCGCTCCTCGCGGGAGCCCCTGGTTCCCGCCAACGCCCCCGGGGCAGGGAGGCGAGCCGTTGGGAGAGGGGCAGCGGGTACCCATGAGATGTGCTCTGGCGGCGGCTCCTTGGGCCTCCTGGCCTGGCTCCTGCTTCTTCAGCCCTGGCCCGGGGAGGACTGGGCGGGCAGGGCGGCGCCACTCCTCTCCCCTCTCCTCTCAGAGGAGAACCGCCAGAACCTGGCAGCGACCCAGACCCCAAGACCGCCGGCGGGCCCCCCACCCAATCTGTTTGAGTCCTTCCCAGGTGACTCACGGCGTGGGAGGCCCGGAGGCGGGGGTCGGGGCGCCAGGGGTCCAGCGCCACCTGGGAGCCTGCTGTCCGTGGCTAGCCCCTCGGGGAATCTGAAGTGCGGCTCCGGAGCCCCAGGGGACACGGCCTCCTTCCTGGGTGTCATCGGGGAACCTGGGGGTCAAGGCCTGTGTCTTTGAGGGAGTTCTTCATCCTACACTGTCCTCACCCCAGTGTGTGGCCGAAACCTCCTGAGAATCGTGGGAGGGGTGAACGCAGAGGAAGGGAAGTGGCCCTGGCAGGTGAGCGTGAGGATCGGCCGCAGGCACATCTGCGGCGGCACCCTGGTCACCAACGCGTGGGTGCTGACGGCAGCCCACTGCATTTTAAGGTGAGGCGCGGCACGTGGGGCTGGAGGCCTTAAGCACCCAATGAGTTCCACTGCCCTGGCAATTTGGCGACAATGAAACAAAACTCACAGTGAAGTCGGAGTGGGGGCTCTGCATTGGTAGTCTTGCTACTAGGCATGTCTAAGAGGGGCAGGCAAACCAAGTCTGAGAGTGATCAAGGAAGAGTTTTTGGTGATGGAGATGGGGTGGTGGGGAGAGTGGCCAGGGACGTTGGGGCTAGTTTGAGAAACATTGGAAATGTATGGAAAAGGCACAAAGGATGCTTCCCAGGGCCTCTCTTAGGGGCATGTCCTCTTTCCCACAGCCACAGACGTTTCCAGTACAGTGTCAAGATGGGAGATCGGAGTATCTACAATGAAAACACAAGTGTGGTGGTCCCTGTGCAAAGAAGTTTTGTCCACCCTAAGTACTCAGTAACTCCAACCGTTAAAAATGACGTTGGCCTTCTTCAGCTCCAACATCCTGTGAATTTTACCGTGAACATCCAGCCTGTCTGCATCCCTCGGGAGAATTTCCATGTGAAAGCTATGACCAGGTGCTGGGTGACTGGATGGGGCAACACACAAGAAAGAGGTGAGACTTCGAGGCAGGAAGCAAACTGGGGGCAGAGAGGAGACACCCTTATCCCTGGAGTAGACATGAAGGCTGCAGAGAGGGGCAGGGAGGCAGACTGCCTGGTGGGTGGCAGGTGTCGAGGGGCAAGCAGTTTAGCAGCAGTCAGGGCCATGGATCCTGGTTGGCTTGGGTGACGCCAGAAACTGGGTTGAGTTCTTTTGTTGCAACACAAGTATTTGATGGCAGCCATTTAGGAAGTCTGCTGTCGTGAGAAATGGAGTTGCTCAGCCAGGAGAACAAGAAACACGTGGGCAAAGTCTCCTTCTGTGGATTTGTGGGGCACTGTGCTCGACTGATTAGGGGGGATTTTTAGGTTCCCTGGAAGAGCCAGATGCTCTAAAGTTCTCCCCAGGAACAGCTCAGGGGGTGATGAGCTGTCTGCCAGTCAGAGCTGCTCCTCACTGGAAGCACCTGCCTTGGTAGGCAGGGCATTTCCTGTTCCTGGGGATGTAGAGAGAGCCAGGAGACTCCTGTTGGGGCTTGGCCCTCCTATCCCAGGGGAGAGGCTAGATTTGGTACTTCTGGGGCACTTCTTGCTTGAGAGTCTGGGATCCTGCTCTAGACAGTAAAGATGCTTTATTGATGCACAGGACACACTCTCACTATTACTACTGATACTTGGAGTGACAGATACTTCGTTGTCATTTCTCAGGCTGGCAATGCATTGCCTTTCCTTCTCCTGAAATATTCTTCCTGTTCCTGTCTTCATTTTATTTCTTACATCTGCCTCTCCCCATGTCAACTTTGGGCCTCCTGTGTCAAATGAGGATAATACTCACTGCTCTGCCTTTTTCCGGAGGGATGCTGGGTGCTTGGGGGCCTATTGCCCACTCGTGCAGATCCATACACTGATGATCTTTGTTAGGAGAGAAATCTCAGACAGAAATTCTCCAGGAGGTAGACCAATACATCATGCACCATGAGGAATGTAATAAGAGAATGCAGAAGATCATGTCATCTACCAAAGATGTAATAATGAAAGGGATGATCTGTGGCTATAAAGGACCAGGAAAGGATTCTTGTCAGGTAAGTTCATGGGCCCTTTTTCCAGCCCTAGATGGCAGAGCCTGGGTTATTTGCTGCTTCCTCTATTCATGCCTAGTTGAGTTAAGGATATTCGTAGAGGGAAACCTGCTATGGTTGCCCTAACTTGGCCCGGCCTATTCTTTCAAAAGGGAGTAGTACTGCCTGGGGGCATTGCTGGCATGTGGGAAAATTGGGGTGGGTAATGCTAATAACATATGGTGTACTAATTTGAGGTGCTCCTATGTGGCACTCACCATGCCAATGGGGACATTAACCCTCATTATCTCAGTTAACCCACAGTGCAACCCTGCAACATAAACATCACACCCCTTGTACGAATGTGGAAGGTGAGATCCAAGGACATTATTTCAGGATCCTCATATGAGTACCAGCGCCCAGACCCATGCTCTCCCTTCTTCACCAAGCTGCCTTTCTGAGGAGGGGGCATTTGAGGTGGCTCTTAGAGGCTGAGTATTTGGATTTCTTAGAAAGAGGAAAACAGCATTGTAGGGAGAGGGAATAGCATGTATGTACAGTGGCCCAGAGGTCTGAGGGAACTTCTCATGTTAAGGGACACCTTACACATTTGGAGCAACGAGGTAGCAAATGTGGCTGAGAAGTGGGTTGGAGTCAGAGTATGTGTGGCTTGGAGTGCTATGCCAAGTTTATAGATTTTGCTCTGGCAGGACTTGGGAGGGAGGCTTGATGAGCATAATTAGATTTGCCTTTTAGATACATCACTTCCTGAGCTGTGTGGTGCATAGACTGAAGTCTAGTCGTTTATTTATTTATTTATTTATTTATTTATTTGAGACAGAGTCTCGCTCTGTCACCCAGGCTAGAGTACAGTGGTGTGATCTCGGCTCACCACAACCTCTGCCTCCCAGGTTCAAGCAATTCTCCTGCCTCAGCCTCCCGATTAGCTGGGACTATAGGTGGCCGCCACCAGGTCCAGCTCATTTTTTGGATTTGTTAGTAGAGACAGGGTTTCACCATGTTAGCCAGGATGGTCTCGATCTCCTGACCTCATGATCTGCCCTCCTTGGCCTCCTCTAGTCTTGTTTTCATCAGCTAGGCAGTGATAAATTGAGTCTTGAGTGGTGCCGGGGCAGGGAGGCAGGTGGAGGTGTTTTTCAGGTTGACCTGTCGGTTCTTGTTGACTGACTGCGTGTGAGGCTGGGGGTGAGGGAGAGGCTCAGGAGGACCCTCTTTTTCTGATTGAGGCAGTTGGTCAGCAGAGGCGGCCTGGGAAAGGACATGCAGACTTCTGCTTGAGTTGGAGGGTGTGGGGCTGTCTGAGTGGAACTGAAAGTGTGGAGTGAGCTAGCTATGTAGGTTAGGAGTTGTAGAGAAACTTCAGGCTAAATATAAGGATTTCGAGGACTGCCTTGCAGAGGTGATATTCAAGACGTTTAACAACCGCTATGGTTTGGAAAGTGAGCAGTCATTTTCTCAGAGCATATTAAAATTTTTCCCTTAACTTTTTAGTTCCCATGTTCACATATTCAGTTGTCCTATTCACAAACACCTGGGCGGTGGGGACTTTGAGGTGCCAGGGGATGCCCTTTGTGTGCCTGTCTTCCCCGCACCTTGTACAGTCTGCTCTGACATAGATCCTTTTCAATTTCTGAAGTTTGTTTCTTTCTCTTTCTCCAGGGAGATTCTGGGGGCCCCTTGGTCTGTGAATATAGTGACACATGGGTCCAGGTAGGGATTGTGAGCTGGGGCGTTGGCTGTGGTCGCCAAGGGGTGCCTGGAGTTTACACAGAAATTGGCGTCTACAGTAAGTGGCTGATTGCAGTGGTGAATCAGGCTACCTGTTTGTATCCAGCAGTGTTCCTCAGCTTACTCCTGCATCTGGTGCTGCCCCTGGGCATCCTGGTGGCCCTGTGATCACCCCAGCCCACTCCTCTTTTGTTTCTGAGTCTCATACTAGGGCTCCCCTCCAGCCTCCCACTCCTTCTCAGTGCCCTTTCTGCAAATCCCAGTTGGAATCCACGGGCCCTCTGGAGATCCACACAATAGAGCATGCTGGGGAGACTGGGGCCTGGAAAGTGTCCCTGGCTGGTGCTCTGGTCACCTGCCTCCGCCGTGCCTGCACGAGGGCTGTGCTCTGCCTGGTGGGAAGGAGGGATGAATCAATTCCAGCTAGAGGACCAGCCACCCTGCCAGGGGGCCACGGTGACTCATTGATATCTGGGTGAACATCTATGAAGGAAGAGACATCATCAACCTTGAAGCAAGTGTTAGACGTGGTTCTGGTTTCTGGACTCCCACCTGAGACTTTGTGAAACCAGCCAGCTGGGCGATTGCTCAGAGAGAGTGAAGGAGGCATTCCCAGGTCCCTGGAGAGGTGTGAGGCCTGGGACTTCCACTCTGGCTCAGTTGTCTGGGGCTGGGAGAAGTTCCCCTGTAGCCCAGTGTGGGTCCCTCTGTGAGTGAACAGCCTCTGCCCCACCAGCTCTCTTGGGGCAACCCATTGTTGGCACCCCCTTCCTCAGTGCCCTAGTGGCTGCTTTCAGGGACACCACAAGTTGTGTTGAGGCAGTTATGGAGTTTGGAATTTTCAAAAATCAACTGAATAAATGTTTGGAGAGTCCTGTGTTCTGCATGTCTACTGGCCTGGGTGTTGGGGACGCTGAAGAGAACTTAACCTCGCATTAAGCTTAGGAAGATGCTGATGATTCTTTTTAAACTAAAGAGTGAGAGAGGAAGTCTCTGCCTACCCAGTTGTGAGTTGGATGAATGGTTTTAGACAGTTGGGTTTTGCTGCCTATGCTCTCCATGGCCATCAGCATTTCCACACAGAGCTTTATAGCCGAGTTTGCTAGTTGTTGTATCTGCGAAGGAGGAAGCGAGAGAGGCTGGAAACAGGAGAGGGGTCAGGGCACTACAGTTCAAACCATAACCTCTATTTTCTGCCTATTTCTGTCCTTCCTTCTCCAAGCCTTGAGCACCAGATCACTTTAATCGGGCTCTATGGAAAGCAGAGGGCTGAGGGTTAGGGAGATGATGGGTTGGGGTGCTGAATAATTCTGGCTCATTTCCCTTGTTACCCTGTGGTCCCAGGGTATTTCTCTGGTATGATGCAGAGCACACTGTTGCTTCCAGTTTCCCTCTTTGTTTATGAAACTTTGAAGTTGCCTCCTCCTTTTTGGAGAGGTACCAAGACCAGCTTGGCCGTAGAGACCCCAACCCAGACGGAAGCAGACACCTAGATAGAACAGCAAAGTTGGACCGACAGCCTTCTGAGCTGAGAGCCTTGGGGCTGACAGCATTCTGGTCTGAGGGCCTTGAGCAGAATCTGACCCATGTATTTATTCTCTCTGAACAGGTGATTATTATGAACAAACGGGTATTCTGTGTTTTCTCATAGAACCAAGGTAAACTAGGTAGGCAGCTGGTGCCTGGTTACCACTGATCAAGGACAAACCAGAAAGTATTCTCCACGAGGGAGCCACAGGGGCAGGGTCACATATTCCATGCTTAAAGAATTGTTTTAACTGGTGTATGATATACATATACTGTTTTGCTACTCTAGAATGTCCCAAGTAGTTTTCCACTTGAGGTGCGGGCGGGCTAGGTTTTCCTTGCCACTGTTCTTAGCAAACAGTATAGTCCATCGTATACTCAGCAGTTTTCAACGATCATACACTCAGCACTTCTCAACAGAGAGGATTAGTGTGTTTTGCATATGGAAAGAAGGTGCATGTGAATATTTATGTGACTAAAGATTGGTAGAGGCTGGACAGTGGCTCACACCTGCAATCTCAGCACTTTGGAAGGCTGAGGAAGGCAGATTGCTTGAGCCCAGGGGTTCACTGCCTCCAGATTTTTTTCTGCAGCCTCCTAGATACGGTGCCATCCCTATTAGAATCAAGAGGGGTCCAGGATGACATCTTATGCCAATACAACCCTGTCTTAATTACCATGCCTTTACAGTAAGTCTCAAAATCCAATAGCTATCTGCCTTGGTTAATTCTAGGTCCTATAGGATGAATCTCAGAAATGATGTTTGGAAAAAATATGTGGAGGATAAGAAGCCAGACACAAAAGAGCATTTGCTGTATGGCTCCATTTATATGAGGTTCAATAACATGCAAATCTAATCTGATAGTAATCAGAACAGTGGTTATCCACCAATCTCTACCCCCCTTTTTTTTTTTTTTTTTTTGAAACAGAGTCTGACTCTGTTGCCCAGACCGGAGTGCAGCAGCATAATCTCAGCTCATTGCAACCTTGACCACGCAGGCTCAAGCAATCTTCCCACCTCAGCCTCCCGAGTAGCTGGGACTACAGGGATGCACCAACATGCCCAGCTAATTTTTGTACTTTTAGTGGAGACCGGGTTTCATCTTGTTGTCCGGGCTGGTCTTGAACTCCTGAATACAGATGCGATAAACATTTCATTAATTCTTTTATAAAATTTGATTATAATGTATTAATTGGTGGAGTCCTCATGACTTAAACACTTCCCATTAGGCCCATCTCTGAATACTTTTGTTTTGGGGATAAAGTTTCCAACACATAAACTTTGGGGAACACAATGAAACCATAGTAAGGAATAAGGTGGATCCTGGCTAATCTGACCTAACAGGATTCTTGCTTAAGAAGCAGACATCACCTGGGGGATGGGAGAGCATGAAGAATCTGATCAGATAATGAGGATAATCAGATATCAAGAATGGGAATTCTGGCTAAAGGGACTTAGCAGGGTTCTTTTGCTAAAAGTAGATTTTACAAGGAAGTGCATACACAGAGCTAGGAGAAAGTTTAGAAGACTGACTCAAGTTTGGCCAGGCAAAGAACTTTTGTCACCACTCAAAGTCTTTTATATGAATGTGGTATTGCATCTGTATTTATAATAGCCAGGATCTGCAAACAATCCAAATGTCAACAGTTGAGTGATAAACAATGAAATAGTACTCAGCAATAAGAAGAAGAAACTTTGTCAATTTAAAAATAAATAAAAAGAAAAAGCAAATAACATTTTAAAAATGAGAAAAAGAATAAAAATAAACTATGAATATACACAATGACATGGATGAAATTTACAAAAACATTATGTTGAGTGAAAGAAATCAGAATCCATAAACTTAGATTGCAAGCAGTCTTCCAAGGTAGCCGAACAATTGAGGACTTTCCTATTGCTGGTTAGGGACTGTCCCTCATCACACGTTTGTCCTTTATGACTTCTTTGGTGCAAGTGCTATGTCTTTACTTAATGACCTTTAAGTTTCCTTCTATAGGTCAACAGCATGAGCTTTAAAAGCTAGCTTTGCTGGCCGGGCGTGGTGGCTCACGCCTGTAACCCCAGCACTTTGGGAGGCCGAGGTGGGCGGACCACCAGGTCAAGAGATCAAGACCATCCTGGCTAACATGGTGAAACCCCATCTCTACTAAAAATACAAAAAATTTAGCTGGGCATGGTGATGGGTGCCTGTAGTCCCAACTACCCAAGGGGTGAGGCAGGAGTATTGCTTGAACCCAGGAGGCAGAGGTTGCAGTGAGCCGAGATTGTGTCACTGCACTCCAGCCTGGCTGACTCCATCTTTAAAAAAAAAAAAAAAACAAAAAAAAAAACCAAAAACCTAGCTTTACCTTTCACACATATTGCTTTCCTGCAGGTCACCAGTTGCAAAACAGAAATTTCAGACGACTGAGGACTTGGGTCTCGAGTATCCAGAGGAGTAATGAAAAGGAAAGAACAAAGATTCCCAAGTCCCGCAACTTCTTTTTTTCCCTACATTTCTATGTGATTGCCTTATCTAAGAAAGTCAGGTGTCTCACAGCAAGGGGTATGGGAAGAGAAAGAAGTACCCAAAGAGATTCTGAGATCAACTTCATCACCAGATATATTAGAAATTTATCAAAATCTGGGTTAACTCCTGTCTTTGCTTAGGAATTTGTTTTAAACAAAAAGAGTGATCTGGAAATTTCAGATCAAGAGATCTAGAAATCTCTAGATAATAGTCTATTATCTATATTTTAAAAGACACAAAATGATATTGTAGCGTCATTAAGGAATATCCAGTAAAGAACTTGCCTTCCCACTATAAACAATTAGAAAACTGGACAGAATAAAATAAATAACTTCAGATATCAGGACGATAGGCAGTATAGGACCGTGATCCTAGAGAGAAGGAAAACAAGCGAAGTGAGTTCTATAATTAGAACTCCTTTGTGGAGGCAATTTTCAGATGGCACAGAGGGAAACCAAAACAGAACACTGATGTCACTAAGAGAAGGAGACAGAGATTGGAGTTCAGGAAGGCTAGGTATCTGTAGTTTGCAGATCGGAATACTGTACAGCAGAGGTTGGCAGACTATGATTGTGGACCAATTCAAGACATAGTCTGTTTGTACAGGCCTAAGATAAGAATGATTAATATATATATATATATATATATATATATATATATTTTTTTTTTTTTTTTTTTTTTTTTTTTTTTTGAGACGGAGTTTCACTCTTGTTACCCAGGCTGGAGTGCAATGGTGCGATCTCGGCTCACCGCAACCTCTGCCTCCTGGGTTCAGGCAATTCTCCTGCCTCAGCCTCCTGAGTAGCTGGGATCACAGGCACGCGCCACCATGCCCAGCTAATTTTTTGTATTTTTAGTAGAGACGGGGTTTCACCATGTTGACCAGGATGGTCTCGATCTCTTGACCTCGTGATCCACCCGCCTCGGCCTCCCAAAGTGCTGGGATTACAGGCTTGAGCCACCGCGCCCGGCCCGATTTATATATTTTTAAAAGATTTGTTTTAAAAAAAAGAATATAGCAGAGACTATGTGCGGTCTAGAAAGCCTCAAGTATTACTATCTAGCTATATAGAGAGAAGTTTGCCAAACTCTGCTATATAGGATGAAGATATGCAGAGAAAGTTCCAGAAATCTGCAGAGCACTCCCTTTCAGTCTTTGGCTGAATGCTAATTTGCACATCAATAGGGTAAATTTTGAGGTGACTATGCGAAGAACAAATGCCAGGGAGCCATGAGCTGAGCGATTCTCAGAACTCACAGAGTACTGGGAGACATTCAAGTTTCATCCAACCAGAGAGGAGGGATCTCACTGAGTACTTGGGTGGTCAGTAGAGGTCCTACAAGATTCATACCTTAATATCAAGGGTAAGGTAGCTGATATGGTTGGGCTCTGTGTCCTCACCCAAACCTCATCTTGAATTGTAATCTCATATGTCTATGGAGGAACCTGGTAGGGAGGTGGTTTCCTCCATGCTGTTCTTATGATGGTGAGTGAGTTCTATGAGATCTGATGGTTTAAATGTATTTGGCAGTTCCCCACTTGCTTGCTGTCTCTCCTGCCACCGTGTAAGCCATGCCTTGCTTCCCCTTTGCCTCCCAACATAATTGTAAGTTTCCTGAGGCCTCCCCAGCAATGTGAAACTGTGAGTCAATTAAACCTCTTTCGTTTGTAAATTACCCAGTCTCAGGTAGTTATTTTTTGCAGTTTGAAAATTGACTAATACATAAAATTGGTACTGGAAGAGTAGAATATTGCTATAAAGATAACCTGAAAATGTGGAAGCAACTTTGGAACTGGGTAATTCATAGAGGTTGGAACAGTTTGGAGGGCTCAGAAGAAGACAG